CTTGATCAGCGAGGAATCGAACCCGCGAAATTGTAGGGTTTATTCGGGGGGGAGGGGGGAGGGAGATTCGAACCCTCGGAGTTATGTGGTTCATGAGCAAGGATTCGAACCCCGGGAAAATGTATCGTTCATTAGAGGAGTCGAAGTCACAAGCCTCCTCTTCTCCCTCCCTCTCCTTCGTTTCCTCCTCCTCCTCCTCTTCCTCCTCCACTTCCTCTTCCTCCTCTTCCACTTCCTCTTCCTCCACTTCTCCTTTTGCCTCCTCCTGTTCCTCTTCATCTTCTTTTTCCTTCTACTCCTTCTCTCCCTCCTAATTCTTCCTCCTCTTCCTCCTTCTTCCTCCTGCTCCTCCTCCTCTTCACCTCCCCCTCCACATGATATCAACACTGACATTTAACGCTGGACACAGGCCTCACATCTTCTTCCTTTTCCTCCTCCTCCTCCTCCTCTTCTTCTTCCTCCTCCTCCTCCTCCATCCTCGTCTTAAGAAAGTCTTAGGGCAGCCAACACCACATTTCTCTCTCTCTCTCTCTCTCTCTCTCTCTCTCTCTCTCTCTCTCTCTCTCTCTCTCTCTCTCTCTCTCTCTCTCTATATACGTATGTGTATAGCAGCCTACACCATACACGTCTCTCTATCTTTCACTCTCATTGTTTATGTAGCAGCATGGATATTGTGTATGATACCTGTATGTATATGTATCTCTTACCTTGTATATATGTATATATGTGTGTGTGTGTGTGTGTGTGTGTGTGTGTGTGTGTGTGTGTGTGTGTCAATCTATTTGCTATTCCATTTGCATTATTGGTGTCCGTGTGCGTGTCTCTGTAATTGCATATATACGTGTGTGGTCCTCTATTAAGTCACAAAATAGAAGTTAAAAGATAAGGGGGGCAGTGGACAGGCAGAAGCAGATGAGCGTGTGTGTGTGTGTGTGTGTGTGTGTGTGTGTGTGTGTGTGTGTGTGTGTGTGTGTGTGTGTGTCGACGTGTACAGCAGGGGTAAGTTTGTGTTATGAGATGGTGTATTGGTGGTGGTGTGTGTGTGTGTGTGTGTGTGTGTGTGTGTGTGTGTGTGTGTGTGTGTGTGTGTGGCAGCTGTTATTAGTTGGGAGAGAGAAAGTCGCCACACCCCACCACAACCACACCACAACCACACCACAACCACACCACAACCACACCACTATTTCCACCTGGTCAACCATCATTACTATATTTGGAGATTGGCCAAAACAGTGTGTGTGTTGTGACGTAATGAGTAAACAAACGAGAGGTCACCTGATCTTTCTCTTAAACAAGTTTCTTAATGACTTTCCAGGTAGATACTAATTACTAATATATGGCATAAATTACGTATTTGTTGGTGGGGTTATTATTAACATTGACTATGGAGGAAAATTGAGCGTGTGCGTGTGTGTGTGTGTCGGGGATATGTGTGTTGCTGTTTTTATTAGTTATTATTATTATTATTATTATTATTATTATTATTATTATTATTATTATTATTATTATTATTATTATCATTATTACATCAACTATTTATAACCGGAGTAAGGTGAAGAGACACACACACAGACCACACAACACCACACCACACAACACCACACAACACCACACAACACCACACCACACAACACAACACAACACCACACAACACCACACAACAACACCACACATTATGATAGTCTCACCAACCTCCTTCAATATTTAATTCATTACTGAACACTCGACTCCCTTTCCCCCCCCTTTCCCCCCCCCTTCAAGCTACCACCAATATATGTCTTTCTCAGGGGGTAGCCATTGTTGTGAGTTAGCTTCAGTCAAGATATGCAGAGAATTTAATTAAAGTTTGTCGGTGGTGCGAGCGGGAGTCTTGTTTATAATTAGGATGGTACACCTAGAGTCTCCTGCTGCCTTCACGCCCTCACTCTGATTGGCCTACGTGTGGTTGAGGTTTGGGGGGTGGCGGGTGGAGTGAGAGGGGAAGGGGGAGGGTGAGAGGGGAAGGTGGGAGAGAGGGCAGGGGGTGAAGGGGGAAGGGGGAGGTGGGTGAGAGGGGAAGGAGGTGAGAGAGGGGGAAGGAGGGTGAGAGAGAGGGGGGAAGGGGGAGGGTAGGTTGGTAAGGGTGGTATTAAGGTGGATATCTAGTGCCTGTGTCGACAAACAATAACTAACCCATGACACAACCCGAACACACTATTAGCTTAGCTAGGTCAGTCCGCCCTCTCTTACCTCCTAAATTTCTTCAATTTCCGAACTATAACTTCCTTCCTCCACCTCTCCTTTCTCTACAAAAAAATGGTTTAGGGGTTGGGAGAAGTATAAGGTGTATTAAGAAAAAAATAAATTGATAGATCGATAGATAATTAAGAGACACAGGTAGATAGATAGATGATTGGGACCTAACTTAACCAAATCTAACCTAAACATAACATAACCTAACCTAGACACAACCCAACTCTAACGTAATCAAACCAAACCTAACCTAAACATAACCTAACCTAACCTAACATAACCTAACCTAACCTAAACATAACATAACCTAACCTAGACACAACCCAACTCTAACGTAATCAAACCTAAACCAATTCGTATTTTTTATAAGACAACTTTATATAATTATCTTAGTTAACTTTATACCATAAAAGTTAATAATTTTTTTGCCTTTACTCTGTCTCACAAATGATCTTAATAAAGTTTTTAAATTTTTTTTGTCATTAAGTTTAGAGAAAAATAAATTTAAACTTTGATAGAATTAATTGAGTTTTTTCCCTTACGATATTTTTGGTAAATATATCGTAAGTCTTATTAAGGGATTTGTTTTTGGGAGAGAGAGAGAGAGAGAAGAGAAGAGAGAGAGGGCGGGAAGATGGGAAGGAAGGAAGGAATGGGTGGAGGATGGGAGGAGGTTAACGGGGAGGGCAAGAAGGGTATAGACAGAGGAGGGAGGGGTGAGGGAGGAGGGTGAAGGAGGGAGGAGGTGAGAAAGGGGGAAGGAGAGGATATTTTTTTATCAGTGTCCTCCCTTTCCTCTCCTCTCGTCCACCTACTCCCTCACCTCTCACCCTCCTCTTTTCTCCCCTACTCCCCCATTTCTCCTCCCCCTTTGCCCCACCTCCCTCGTCTCACCCTCCCCTTTTCTCCCTTAGCGGTCAGTCATCTCCTCCAAGGTGATGAAGAAGAAGCAGAGAACCACCTGTGACGTCACAAGAAGGGGGCGTGGTCCTATTAGTGACGTCATCCTGTTAGTGTGACGCCCTGAGTGATGTCATTGTTAAGTCTCTACCATCTCATCACCACCACTAACCATCACCACTAACTACCATAACCACCATCTAACTCACCAAACTACTCCCACTAACTACCATAACCACCAATAACTCACCATCTAACTCACCAAACTACTCCCACTAACTACCATAACCACCACTAACCACCATCTAACTCACCAAACCACCACTCACCACACAGCCTGCAGCACAAGACCAGGTCAGAGTTAGCCTGCAGTGTTACCATAAAGGGAGGCGTGATACCATGTTACCAGGCCAAGGTTGTCACCGTGTAGTCCCTGGGGGTAGTCTTGGTCGCGCTTCAGTCATCTGGTATCACTGTATTTGAGAGTTTTTTTTTTTTGGAGGAGGAAGGAGGAGGAGGAGGGTATTGGTATCTTATTATATGCCCTAAGGTGGGTAGTACGTGAGTGTCTCCTGTCTGTCTGTCTCTTGTCTGTCTGTCTCCTGTCTCCTGTCTGTCTGTCTCCTGTCTCTTGTCTGTCTGTCTATCTGTCTCCTGTCTCTTGTCTGTCTGTCTATCTGTCTATCTGTCTCTGTCTGTCTGTCTCCTGTCTGTCTGTCTCCCTGTCTGTCTGTCTCCTGTGTGTCTATCTGCCTCTTGTCTGTCTGTCTATCTGTCTCTTGTCTGTCTGTCTCCTGTCTGTCTTGTCTGTTTGTGTATAGGTTCTTGCAACAGTAGCTCTCTCTCTCTCTCTCTCTCTCTCTCTCTCACACACACTCATTCTTACTTGGCATACACCCCTCTCCCTCTCCCCCCTCTCCCCCCCCTTCCCCCCCTCTCCCCTCCCCTCTCCCCCCTGTCTCTCTCATCTGCAGGGCATCAGGTTAAGGTGGGCAGCGACGACACATCTCTAAGAACAGTGAGGAACTATGGTTATTACCGTCTGAGGAAGATAGTTAGCTTACTGAACATTACTAGCCTTTACGGTGTTCAGCGACGGGGCAGAGAGAGAGAAAAAAGAGAGAGAGAGAGAGAGAGAGAGAGAGAGAGAGAGAGAGAGAGAGAGAGATAAAACAGGTCTTTCACACACACACACAGCTAAGTCCGTCTATAAACATAACGATGCCTCTGTTATTGCATTACATTAATTACAGTGTTCAGTCTACTCACGCCAGTTTGTCCCAGGGATGATACTGGGCCTTTGTGTGGTCTGGTTGCAAGTGGATGGACATGCAACTTTCACCTGTTAACTCTTGTTGCACAGTTACTAGACTTTAATCAGTGCGCAATTTCCTCCCTCGTTGTTGAGTTTGGTATGTGTGTGTGTGTGTCTCTGTGTATGTGTGTGTGTGTGTTTGTCTGTCTGTGTCTGTCTGTCTGTTTGTGTGTGTGTGTGTGTCTGTCTGTCTGTGTCTGTCTGTCTGTTTGTGTGTGTGTGTGTGTGTGTGTCTCTCTGTGTATGTGTGTGTGTGTGTGCTTGTCTGTCTGTGTCTGTCTGTCTGTTTGTGTGTGTGTGTGTGTGTGTGTGTGTGTGTGTGTGTGTGTGTGTGTGTGTCTGTCTCTTTTCCTAATGCATTGTTTTTGAAGTTATTATTATTATTATTATTATATTTATAATAAATATTAAATTATTAATACTATATTATTATTATTATTATTATTATTATTATTATTATTATTATTATTATTATTATTATATTCTTACAACAGTAGTCTCTCTCTCTCTCTCTCTGGCGTAGTTTCTCACCTCTTATATTGTTTACTTACAGAACACGGGGCACGAGTGGCTCTCACACCAGCCTACTGAATGTTGAAAGTAAGTCATTCATTCTCCTCCTCCTCATCTCTCCTCCTCCTCCTCCTCCTCCTCCTCCTCCTCCTCCTCCTCCTCCTCCTCCTCCTCCTCCTCCTCCTCCTCCCTCCTCCTCCTCCTCCTCTTCCTCTTCCTCCTCCTCCTCCCTCCCTCTTCCATCAGTAGCTTCCAATATCCCACCGACCTCACCCTCCCTCCTCCTTCACCTTCTCCTCTCTACTCTTCTCCTCCATCTCCTCCCCTCCTCCTCCTCCTCCCTCCTCCTCCTCCTCCCTCCTCCTCTCCTCCTCCTCCTCCTCCTCCCCTCCTCCATCAGGTAGCTTCCAATATCCTACCCGACTCACCTCCCCCTCCTCCTTCACGTTCTTCTTCTCTTTCTCCTCTTCTTCCTCCATCTCCTTCTCCTCCTCTCCCTCCTCCTCTTCCTCCTACCTTCCAATACCCTACCATGCCTCACCTGTTGCACCTCTCACCTGTACCAATACCCTACCATGCCTCACCTGTTGCACCTCTCACCTGTACACGTACCAACATCTTCCTTACCTGTTTGTGTACCTTTTTTTTTACACCTGTCGGGACTTTGTGAATGTGGGATGTGTTATAAATCAACTTGTTCTGTGTTCAAGCACCTGTTGAACACCTGTCGAACTCTGTAAATTACAACACCTGTACTAACATCTTCCTTAAGTCTTGACACACCTGTTGAACACCTGTCGAGGCTCTGTAAATTACAACACCTGTATTAACATCTTCCTTAAGTCTGGACACACCTGTTGAACACCTGTTGGAACTTATTCTCTCTACTGTTTTATCTGACGACACTTGGGACCAGGTAGCGTCATTTGGGACCAAGTAACATTATTTGGGACCAAGTAACATTATTTTGGGACCAAGTAACATTATTTGGGACCAAGTAACATTATTTGGGACCAGATAACATCCACTTGGCGTTTGAGGGCGATGGTGATGATGGTGGAGGTTGTGTTGGAGGTGGTGATGGTGATGTGGGGGAGGGGAGGTGGTGTTGGCGATGGCGGTGTGGGAGGAGTGGCGGTGTGGGCGGGTGGGCGGGGGTGGCGGTGTAAGGTCGGCTTCCCCTTTAGGTCCCAGGTCCACCCAATACCAATGTTATCACTCGCTGTAATGGTTGAGTTATTGAGCCACGTTATTACCACCACACACTCTGTATATTTAACACGTGATGAAGGGATACCGTGGGGAGAATACTGGGGAGAGAGGGGAGAATGGTGGGGAGGAGAGGGGGAGAATGGTGGGGAGGAGAGGGATAATGGTGGGGAGGAGAGAGAAGAATGGTGGGGAGGAGAGGAGAATGGTGGGGAGGAGAGAAGAATGGTGGGGAGAGAGGGAGAATGGTGGGGAGAGGGAAGAATGCTGGGGGAGGGAGGAGAATAGTTGGGAGCAGAAGGGTTTGGAGGATGGAGAGAAAAAGGGGAAGGTAAGGGGAGAGAAGAAGAGATTGGGGAGGAGGGGTTAAAGGGATGGGAGAGGGGTAGGTCAGAGTGGGAGAATAAAATAGAGAGGGAGGGAGTAGAGATATGAGGTGGAAGGAAGGATGAAAGGAGTAGAGACAAGGAGGGGAAGGAAGGAAGGGGGAGTAAGGGAGGGGGTAGGAGGGAGTTCTAACACTGTCTTTCTCCTTTTCCTCCTTATATCTCCCCTTAGGTAGACAATAGTTCAGAGAGAAGGGAGAGAGGGAGAGAAGGAGGGAGGGAGAATGAGGGAGAAGTGTTGTAGCAATAGCCAATACACTCCTCTTCCCCTCCTTCCCCTCCTCCTCCTCCCTCCTCCTGCATCCCTCTCCCCTACTCCTCCCTCCTCCTCCTCCTCCTCCTCCTCCTCCTCCTCCTCCTCCTAAGGTATCGAAGTCCAGGGGAGGGAAGGAAGGGAGGAAGGGAGGTAGGAAGGAAGGAGGGAAGGGAGGGATAGGAGGAAAGGAGGAGGAGAGCAATGAAGAGAAAGTTGCAGTTGTAACCTCCACGCTTCCTTTCCCCTCCTCACCCCCTTCACTCCCCCCCTAACTTCTATTGTTACAGCCTAGCGGGTGCGGGGGTGCGGGGGGGGCAGGTGGAGGAAGGGGTACAGGTAATGGGGTGAGGAGGGGGGGGGATGATCACTCTTCTTCTCTCCACAACCTTTCCCCTTCCGTCTCTTTTCCTCCTACCTCCCTTTCTCCTCTCCCCCTTTCCGTCACGTCTTCTTCCCCCCTCCCAGATCTCATTATACCTTCCCCCCTCCCCATCTACCCCCCTTTTCTCTACTTGGATCTAACCCCCACTGCTTCCCCCCTCACCCCTTCCCCCCCCCCCTCTCACCCCCCTTCCGCCCCCCCCGTGGAGTAATTACCCTTGCAATTGTTTACGTTTGAGCTAATTACACTCTGGGTGTTGTAGAAACAAAAGAATGTGTGGCGTCCAGGCCTTGGCAACACTGATTATCACCCTCCCTTCTCCCTTCCTCCTTCGGCATCCTCTCCCTTCCCTCCCCTCCTCTTCCCCAACACCCCTCTCCCTCTTCACCTCTCCCTCTTCACCCCTCAGTCCTTCACCCTACCTCCCCCCGTCACCTCCCTGAACAAAGAAAACAGATTAATGTTGGCTATGTTACTACGAACGTCAAGCCAAGAAACGGATGTGAAAAACCCGAACGCCTCGACTTCAGACGGATTTGTTAAAGATGAAGTTTTTTATGATTTTGTTGACAGTGTATGAACTACAACTACTACTACTACTACTACTACTACTACTACTACTACTACTACTACTAATACTACTACTACTACTACTACTACTACTACTACTACTACTACTACTACTACTACTACTACTACTACTACTACTCCATAACACATCTAACGACATCAATCATTCCCACATTTACCTCTGGCGACATCGAGACAAGCTTAGGCAGGTAACTTAATTAAAGGATATATAACCAGGTAATCATCACAGGTAATCAACACAATATCCCCCCACCCCCCGATTGAAAACATCCAAATGGGAATCGAACCTAGGATCTCATGTTTGCAAGGCGACTGTACTTAAAAAAAACACAACATTGAAGGAAACTGAATTATTTTTTTCCTTTATTTACCTGTACATGGGACAAGTTATATACTGTACAGGTAACTCAGGCGGTAATTACTAGGACCAGGTATATTCAGACAACTCCAGTACGTCTGTTGACCGGGCTGTGTGAGTTAGACGAACTACTTAATCATCTAACCACTTGAAGGTGTCTAGTTAAAGAGCTATGAGGTAGTTTAGGGTAGTTAAGCAGACCAATTCGCACGAGGAGTAATGTTGATGTTATTTTTTTTATGTTATGATGATTAGTTTAATGGTGGGGTATTAAGGTTGGTCTGTGTATGTGTTAGTTGCCGCTAATGTGTATGTTGTGTACAAGTGACGTCAACAGTAGGGGGAAGTTGTTGTTTTCTCTACCTAGGAAGAATTTTTTTCTCTACCTAGGAAGAATTTTTTTCTCTACCTTGGAAGATTTTTTTCTCTACCTAGGAAGAATTTTTTGTCTCTACCTAGGAAGAATTTTTTCTCTACCTAGGAAAATTTTTATCTACCTAGGAAGATTTTTTTCTCTACCTAGGAAGAATTTTTTTCTCTACCTAGGAAGATTTTTTTCTCTATCTAGGAAGAATTTTTTCTCTACCTGGGAAGAAATTTTTTTTTCTCTACCTAGAGGAAGATTTTTTTTCTCTACCAATTAAGTTGTTAGGTTAGGTTAGGTTAGGTTAGTTTTGGTCTAGGTTAGGTTAGGTTTAGTCATCTGTATTTCATTGTCCCTTCATATTCAACAAAATAATATTGAGCTCTATATAGAAACTTGTTAATAGACTGACATTATAGGGATATAAATGGTTTTAGTTGTTTATTTTAGGAATTATTGTACATTAAATCCTGGCGAGATTTTTTGTGACCCCACCTGATAAATTATGACGTGTATGTGTGTGTGTGTGTAGATGTGTGTGTGTGGTGGTTGAGTGAGGAAGCAGTGAGGAAGCGAAGAGAGAGAGAGAGAGAGAGAGAGCTGCTTCTTCACTCTCCGCCATAACCCGGAGTTAGTGGCTACCTGGAGGAATGTGACTTATTGCCTGTCCCGTAATACCACCACTCATATTTAAGGGTTGTGTTCTGGCGCGGAGAAAATTAGCCTTATCCATTATTCTGTGTGTGTGTGTGTGTGTGTGTGTGTGTGTGTGTATCTTTTAGTATGAGAGAGACACATAACATTACAACAACCTGTCAGTGTTGTTTTGCGGTTATTGCTGTTATTATTAGTTGTGGTTGTAAATTAAAGGAAACAGGTCGTAGAGGAGACGTGAAAACATGATATATTACATAATTTTACTGTAATATTTTCTGAAGAGTAATGGTAGTGTTAGGAGGAGGGTGGATAAAGACTTATAATCACACTTAAGACTTATAATCATATAAGATTCATATTCATTTAAAACTAATCACACACACACACACACACTCACACACACACTCACACACACACACACACACACACACACACACACACACACACACACACACACACAAACTCGTAATTACATCAGTACTCACCTTTCCATCTCGTCACCTGGGCCCCGTGCATTACCTGGAGGAGCTCATTTGCATATTCACTAATTACTCTACCTGCTTAATGTTTCTTGGTGTCTTTGATAAAGCAGAACGTCGTAAGGTTTTGAATATACTCGATAAATATTTTTTTTATTATCTGTAAACTCATATGTGTGTGTGTGTGTGTGTGTGTGTGTGTGTGTGTGTGTGTGTGTGTGTGTAATCATAGCGCCAGGTAAAACAAAATCACCTGAGCTGTGATTTAACGTGAGACTTAACGCTATTGGCTGTGGATTATCAGGGCCTGAGATGTGATTGGCTCTCCATTATAACGGTCTTGAGATATGATTGGCTATCGATTATGACCGCCTGGGATGATTGGCTGTGGTTTAACAAGGAAG